CAAGCCACCAGAACAAAAGTTCAAAATATAATTAACTTATATTCAGATCGTAAGATCGCCCAATTCACCACAGCAGACAATTTAATCAGGAAACTCACCACCGCAAAAACAGACAAAGAAAAAACTAGAGTGGAAAAAGAATATGATAAAATATACGACAAGCACAAGGATAAAGAACAACTAGGTCAGAGAATGGCACAAGCAAAAGAAGACAACAAGCGAACGGGAAGAACCAACCCGAGGAAACCAAGAAAATATTCAATCAATGTCCATTTATACCAACTGAAGACAGAATCACACCAAGGATTATCAGTATCCTTCAGAGACAGCAGGGGTAGGGCATACGTTCCGATTTATATGAAAGATCTATCGGCCAATGTAGCCACAACACCGTGGGTTGAAAACCTAGCGGGGAGACGAATATTTAGAGACGAGAAGCCCGACACAAAAACATTTCATAGGCTCAAGATGTTATTAATGACAGATGACAGTTTTAAAGCAGATGTCGGTTATGCCGAAGGTTACATTGCTTGTATTAAAGTTAATCACGTTGAGAGGGTAGATAGCGCCGATGCTTTCAAGCCACAAGACGAAGAATTAACAAACACAGAGAATGTCAGTATGTATCACAGATATATTCAGACACCCTTGGATCCACAGTATGAGACCTTTAAGGAAGCCATTAAAGTAGAGCATTATGTTAAGAACGAGTGTTGGTTTAACACCTTGACGGATTATTATAAGGATACCCTTATGGGAGATCACAAGAGAGAGAAGAACAAACTAACAAAAGAAGCCATCCTAAAGATCATAAATAAGACGGAAGAAGATTTTAAAACAAAAGGGGCGTCAATAACAGATATGGCTAAGGTGTTTGAACATTTTAACTTGCAAGTCAGAATTTATGATGTCTTTGATACTCTCATTTATAAGCGCGACCCAATAAAAAGAAACCATCACATCCCAGCCTCATACGCGAGAGTGAAGAACAGTCACATCTACACAGTCAATGATAATATGAATATGTTGAGGCAGATGATACCCAAAAACAGTAATTATAGTATATCTGTTAAGGCATCTTCAGATTATCACCTTAACGAGAAGGAGGAGCCAGTGGAATGTAAAATGATCACATCCCTAGACGACATCAGCAAGTATACCGAGCACAGCGAATACACATTGGTATATAATGGCTACGATCTGTCTCATCTCTTTTATCTTAGCAAACAGGCAGGGTATGAGCCACAGGCTAGATTTAGTGCAGGGTTCGTATCTGAACTTAACTTCAAGTTTAAGATCAAGATAAAAAACAAGAGCCACAAAGAGGTTAAATACAAGGTTAAGACCCAGAACTTAGTAAATAATTCTATAGATGGTTCCATCTGCGTGAGAACGGAGCAGATCTACAACAAGATGTCTAAAGCTATGTTTAACTTTAATACCGCCCTCTTCAAGCCGACACACAAGTCATATTATAACGAGATTGACGTTGAAATCTTCAAGGAGTGTCGCACCATCCCCCCAACGGGTGAAATAAATAAACATTATTATTTATATAACCCTAAGACAGACCAAGACGACAAATATTTTTATACCCCAGAAGTGACTACGGA